TGGAAAAACCCAGTGGGATAAAAACCAGAATGAAGGAAAAAGAGTACAGTGTGAAGGTCTCAATTATGACACGCTCCCCCTGATGCTGGCAAAAGATCCTTGAGTTGGCGCATTCCAATATTGTTGACCATCTTTCTGAATGTTGTAGTTGGTAGTGCTTTAGTGAATAAATCTGCAAAATTGTTGCTAGATTGTATTTGTTGAACATCTATGTCACCATTCTTCTGAAGTTCATGCGTGTGGAAAAATTTTGGGGAAATGTGCTTGGTTCTGTCACCTTTGATGTATCCATTTGTGATTTGAGCAATACAAGCAGCGTTATCTTCATATAGTAATGTTGGAGAATCTTTGATTGAAGACAACCCACTTGTTTCTCGAATATGTTGTATCATAGATCTCAGCCATATACATTCCCGGCTTGCTTCATGCAATGCTAATATTTCAGAATGGTTTGAAGAAGTGGCGGCTATGTTTGTTTTATAGACTGCCATGATATAGCAGCACCACCACAAGTGAACACATACCCTGTTTGTGATCAAGCTTTATGTGGATAAGAAAGATAACCAGCATCAGCATAGCCAACTATTTGGGACTTTGACCCTTTTGAATAAAATAAACCCATGTCAGTTGTTCCACGAAGATACCGTAGTACATGTTTAACACCATTCCAATGTCTCTTAGTTGGTGTAGAGCTATACCTTGCTAATAAGTTGACAGGAAAAGATATATCAGGCCATGTACAATTTGCAAGATACATCAAAGTTCCAATTGCATTAAGGTATGGTACTTCAGGACCAAGTAATTCTTCGTTATCTTCTCGTGGGCGAAAAGGGTCTCTCTTTACATCAAGTGATTGAACAACCATGGGGCTACTTAATGGATGGGCTTTATCCATATAAAATCGTTTTAAAACTTTTTATGTATATGTTGATTGATGGATAAAGATTCCAGTTGGTAAATGCTCGATTTGCAGGCCAAGACAAAATTTAGTCTTTCCAAGATTTTTCATTTCAAATTCCTTCATTAAATAAGCAGCAGTCTTTGTAAGCTCTTCAGGAGTTCCAACAAGATTTAAATCATCCACATATACTGCAATAATAGCAAATCCATTTCTAGATCTTTTAATAAAAACACATGGACAAATTGGATTATTTACATATCCTTCTTGTATAAGATATTCACTAAGGCGGTTATACCACATTCTTCCAGATTGCTTTAATCCATACAAGGATCGTTGTAACTTAATTGAATACATATCATGATATTTTGGATCATTTGCTTCAGGCAATTTAAATCCTTCTGGGATCTTCATATAGATATCATTCTCAAGTGATCCGTATCGGTATGCAGTAACTACATCCATAAGTTTCATATCAAGTCTTTCTGTGACAACCAAACTAATCAAGAAACGTAATGTGATTGCATCAACCACAGGGGAATATGTCTCCTCATAATCGATTCCAGGTCTCTGCGAGAAACCTTGAGCTACAAGTCGTGCTTTGTATCTTACAATTTCATTTTTCTCGTTACGTTTCCTTACAAACACCCATTTGTATCCAACCGGTTTCACACCTGCAGGTGTTCGGACTACTGGTCCGAATACTTTACGATTTTCCAAGGAATTTAATTCTGCTTGGATCGCATCTTTCCATTTTGGCCAATCCTCTCTATGTCGACATTCTTCAACAGTTTTTGGTTCAAGATCCTCATTATCTTTTATAATTTCTATAGCAACCATGTATGCAAAGGCATCATCAACAATAATTTTCTCTTTATCCCAGCTTTCTCTTGTACTCATATAATTCAAAGAGATCTCTTCTGATGTATGTACTTCTTTTGATGTATGTGCCTCTACAGGGGCTATATCTTCATCAATTTTAAACTCGTCAGTTTTTGGCTCATCAAGAGTACTAATTTGTTTTGGATTTTTATCTTCTTCTGGAATAGGCACTTCTTGTGTCCTTTTCTTTCGGGGATTTTTATCTTTAGCACCAACAGGACGACCACGCTTCAAGCGTGCCTTTAATGTACTATCATATTGACCTTCAGGGACATCAATCCGTGCTGGAGTATTTACAGCCAGTATATGAGATTTTGTTACTTTCTTTATGTCAGTAAAGGCATCCGGTAATTGATTTGCTATACTTTGCTAATGGATGATCCTTTGAACTTCACGTTCACTTTGATTTGTATGTGGATCCAAATGAGACAATGATGATGCATTCCATGTAATTTCACGCCGTTCTTCAAGAATCGGCACCTTTTCTCCCCCTAACGGCGGGAAAACTGTCTCATCAAAATGGCAATCCGCAAAGCGTGCGGTAAACATATCACCCGTCAGGGGTTCAAGATATCTAATTATGGATGGAGAATCAAACCCAATGTAAATTCCAAGATGTCTTTGAGGGCCCATCTTAGTTCGCTTTGGTGGAGAAATGGGAACATAAACAGCACAACCAAATATTTTTAAATGAGAAATATTAGGTTGTTGGCCCAAAACAAGTTGTAATGGAGAATATTGATGATAAGCAGTTGGTCGGATGCGAACCAAAGATGCAGCATGCAATATAGCATGTCCCCAAGCAGAAGTAGGTAATTTCGACCTTAAAAGTAAAGGCCGAGCAATCATTTGAAGGCGTTTGATAAAGGACTCTGCTAATCCATTTTGAGTATGTACATGTGCAACTGGATGTTCAACACCAATGCCAATGGACATGCAATAATCATCAAATGATTGAGATGTAAACTCACAAGCATTATCAAGACGAATTGTCTTAATTGGATAGTCAGGAAATTGTGCCCTCAATTTCATTATTTGAGCAAGAAGCTTAGCAAATGCAATAGAACGAGTAGAAAGTAGGCAAACATGTGACCATCTTGATGATGCGTCTATTAAAACCATAAAATAACGAAATGGCCCACATGGTGGATGAATAGGTCCACATATATCCCCTTGGACTCGTTGTAAAAACGTTGGAGATTCACTAACAACTTTCAAGGGAGAAGGTTTAATAACCAATTTTCCTTGTGAGCATGCCTGACATGGACAATCACTAGATAAAAGAATCCTCTGGTTCTTTAATGGATGACCATGTGAATTTTCTATTATTCGACGCATCATTGTTGACCCCGGATAGCCAAGTCGGTCATGCCAAAGCATAAAAAGCTTTGGATCACTGAACTTCTGGTTCATTATGATATTTGATTCTATTGCACTTATAGTTGTATAATACAAGCAAGATGAGAAAGCTGGAAGTTTTTCAACTACATGCTTCTGGCATGAAACAATAGAAGTAATTAACATATATTCTATATTCCCCTAATTTGTAGTTTCAATATGAAACCCATTAAGGCATATATCCTTAAAACTAATCAGATTTCTTCTGGATCTGACAGAATATAAAGCCTCTTTGATATAAATATGTGTTCCTCCAGGTAATATTATATTTGCTCTTCCAGAGCCTTCGATAAGCTTTGCACTACCTGAAATTGTATTCACATTAGTTTTTGCTACTCTTAAGTTTGAAAAATATTTCTTTTCCCGAAGGATTGTATGTGTTGTAGCATTGTCCACCAAACATACATCTCCATCATGCATCTTGGAATTGCTCAAAGCACTGACATTTTCCATGCTTCTTCATTTAAAGAAAAATACATATAATACCAATAGGAGTTGGTCCAAGTGGAAGGGGCTTGGATCCTTTAAACAAGAGGTCCTGGGTTCGATCCCAGGCGCTTGCGAATAGAGCAGACTTTGTTGGGAGAGGTCCCCGCTTTGCGTCCGACAGTACCTCGAGGGTTAGTCCCCGCAATCGCGCGGGGGATACCTTGGTTTTCACCAAAAAAAAATACATATAATAAGTTTATGAATAAATATAACAATAAAATAAAATAAAATTATGACAGATCCTTTTATTGAATTGAAAGCATTTCAAATGAAAAACTGAAACTTAAATCATTAGTTCATATCATTTTATTGAATTGAAATAAAGCAACATAATAGAGCAACACAAAATTAGTCAATATTGGGGTTCCCATCATTGGTATCATCATCACCATCCTTCATATTTTCATCACCAATATTGGTATTTCCATCACCATATGAATTGTCAAATGCCCCGCTTGGTTCCGCCAAGAAATCATACACATCCAAATGGGTGATATCCATTAGCTCAGGAAAATCATCAAAAATGTTGAAATCGATGAAGTTTGTTTCTTTCTCTTTTCCCTTTCCCTTAATTGATGCTTGATAAAGATTAACCAAGTGTTTCGCCGTACGACAGGTACGAGACCAATGCCCTTTCACGCCACACCTATAGCAAGCCTCATCACTTTTCTTTTCAGAATTAATCTGCACACCTTTCCCTTTTCCTTGTTTTTCTTCATTGTTATTCCACTTCTTGTGGTATGGTGCATTTTTCTTATTTGAGGCATGATTGTGACCACCTCGGTTTCGAAAATTATAATGACCATGACCACGGCCACGGCCATAATTGCTTGCATTCGCTTTAGGGAATGATGCATTTGCTTCTGGAAATGGCTTTGAGCCAGTTGGGTGGGAATGATGGTTTTTCATCAAAAGCTCATTGTTTTGTTCAGCAACAAGGAGACATGAAATCAGTTGGGAATATTTTGTAAACCCCTTTTCTCGGTATTGCTGCTACAGGAGCATGTTTGATGCATGAAAAGTTGTGAATGTTTTCTCCAACATATCTTCATCAGTAACCGTGTCTCCACACAACCTCAATTTAGAGACAGTTTTGAACATTGCTGAGTTGTACTCATTCACTGTTTTGAAATCCTGCAGGCGCAGGTGCATCCAATCATAACGAACCTTTGGAAGAATTATACTCTTCTGATGGTCATATATTTCTTCCAAATTTTTCCATAGGATAGCAGGGTCCTTCACCCCAAGGTATTCAGATTTCAACCCTTCATGAAGGTGATGGTGGAGGAAAATCATAGCTTTCGAGCGATCCTGCAGGGATGCTTCATTTCCTTCCTTGATGGTATTTCCAAGATCCTTTGCATTCAAATGAATTTCAGCATCAAGGATCCATGTCAAATAGTTCTTGCCAGAAATGTCAAGTGCAACAAACTCAAGCTTCGTGAGATTCAACATTGTTGAATACGTCTAAGAAACAAAAATCAAATATTTCAGAATTAATTGTAAACATGAAAAATTTAGATATGCCTCAATAACAAAAATGATCATAAAAAAAAAATTAAATAAATGAACATATGCATAATTAGTCACTCAAAGCTACAGGTTTGAGTTCTATACATTTAGGGCTTCAGGCTCTAAAATAATTATATAACTTAGAACTTCGGGTTCTAGAATTATTGGATTTCTTTGATTTAAAACTTCAGGTTTAAATCATTAGGGTGTGAACTTCGGGTTCTAATGTATAAATAAAATCATTCTTTATAAAAGTGCAATCGTTTATTTATATATGATAATAAATAAAAGCATATGCATGTTATAGTGTATATTAAATAAACAAATGAAGACCTTGCACAATTGGTTAGAAAAAAAAACTGAGAACATGGTAGAACCAAACTTTGAGTCATAGCATCCTTCTGTATTATAGTTAATCAACATGTGTGGGACTATGTCTCAAAGAAACTTGGTTAGCGAAACAAAAACAAACTTATAGCATCAATCGAAATAAAATAAGAAATTAGATAAGAAAATTATACCAAGTCCAAGCCAAGATCCTCAACTGGTAATAGAGTCGTGCTGATAACGTGTTGTAAAAGTAAATAGAGAAAGTATATGAAGGTAAGAGTAGTTCTCAATAGCTTAATACTCAAGTGTCTTATTCATCTTTAGTGCCTACTATTTATAGGTATAGGAAATACATCACCATCTACCCACCTTAGTAGTAGGTTACAAAACATAATAACCAATGATAAATAGGGTATTTAGTGCATAGGTTACAACCCTATAATGATAGGTATAATGATGGGTATAATGGAGGAAATACAATGCACTTATGGTGGGCATCCATAACCTTTGGGGTTACAAGTACTTTGTGTTTAATTTTGTTTCTCCATATTTGAGCTAACCTCACTTATCATCCTCTTTTATGTTTAACAAATAAGATTGCATCCATGCGGAATAGATGATTATATTGCCAAACTGGATCACCAATTAGGCATGAACCAACATGATTAATGATCAAAGTTCAAACTTTAGCAATATAAACATCTTATGTTATCAAATAATTTCGAAGGCGCAACATTTGCCTACATATCATGTCACTAGGTGTCCTAATTTATTATAGTGATTTTGGTATACAGATTTCAAAACTTATTTTGTTTTGTTTCAAAACATTTTTCTTTTCTTTTTTTCTCTCCCGTAAAACATTTTCTAATTTGAAACTAGCAAATGCTTATAACAATGAAAATTGTATGATAATTTAGCGTTCGAACTTAGAACCTCTTTCACCGTATGTAAGACAAATATCATTAATTCAAAAGTTAGTTATTATTAAGAGAAATCATTTTGCCCACCGTTGCCTTTAAATTTGAAATATACCCTTATCAGTTTTAACAATTTAATACTAAACTCAAAAATTGAAGATAACATCAATTACAATAATCTAATATTATTTATTTGATTATGGGCCAAATAAATATATATTTTGCTTTGTTTACGAATGTGGGCCGAACCATACCGATCCAGAAGCTCAAACTCTAACGAAAGCTTCAGAACCTTGAAGCTAGCTAAGAAGTTGATAAAAGCCCAACCCAAAATCCCCGACTACTCCCAAATTAGACCTGGCGTCAGTGTTCAGCAAATTTGACTCCCTCAAAAGCCAGAAGGCTGGGAGGCTTTTCGAGCTCCAAACAATGGCGATAGCAGACGCTTTAGGTCAAGGTACATCATCTGTAATTGTCTTAATGATGCATATGTACAAATTTGAGTGTCTGCATTTATTTTTTGCTTGCGTATGTACGCGTTGTGGGTTTTGTGGGGGTTTAGCTGTATCTGGCTCTTTGGTTCATGAGAAAGCAAAACAAGGGGTTTAGGATGAACATTTCCCTTTTGGGTGTTTTTATATAAAATTAAAAAATTAAGTTACAGGAGGAAAATTTCTGCTTGAGGTGGTGTTATGTGTGAATATGCTTAATGTTTGTTTATGTGTTCATATTCTAGAAAGTTAGAACTTAAACGAATAAATAAAAAGTTACATGGAAGTATATTATTAGAAATGCAAAAGTAAAAGTTTCCCAATCAAATTTTCAACTTGCCAGTAGAGAGCAATTGCAGGTGATAAATGACCAAAATTAGTGATGAATCAAAAAGCAGGGTTTGAAAAATCAATGAACTGAAAGAATACTCCATACCCAAATAACTTTTTTGGGTCCAAAGTCCAGTCATAACTTTAATCTTATAATTAAATGTTACGAAAATGTGGAATGGCAAGTTAGGGTTGTAGTCTAAAGCAATGTTTTCAAAGGCGAGGCGTATAGGTGAGGCGTTTTTAGTAGCGCTATGCAAGCCGTAAGCCTTGAAGCGTTGAGGCGTAAGCCTTTTGGATATTAATTTATTTTAATAAGAAAAATTTATAAATAATACAATACAATTAAATTGTACAACTAATTCTTATTGAACCATAGCAATCTTTTAAATATAAGTACTAATTGTCTTTCAAAGCATAATAATCAATCCCAAAACATAAAATATTTATTTAACATCAAAACAAAAACATAATTCACTCATCCCACTCCTGAACACTAATATCATTCAAACTAGCATCACTATCATATTGATCAACTGTATCAATATGAAAAGGATATTTTCCACTATCAAATGTTGAAGGATCTATCTCATCATCTTCATCCATAAGCATCGCTCTTAAGGACTTGCTTTTGACTTTCCTCTTACCTATACATATGAACAATGAATTAAAATTTAGTTGTAATGAATTAAACACTAATTGTAACTTTCACTCCATGATTTACTTTCCATACTTACTTGAGGTTTCACCATCTTTTCTCTTTTTTGAAGTTAACGAGGAAAGAAGAACATCATCATCAAGAATAAGATCATCATCAATAATAGGATCTTGAGTTCTAGAATGGACAATAGGCTCTTGAGTCCTAACATGAATATTCCCTTGCTCTTGAGTCCTAGGATCAACAATAGGCTCCACAGAAATAGGCACTCGAGTATGTAGATCAGTTTCATAAGGTTACCGTATTATACTTCACATATACTAGAGCATTGAGCTTTTGATGTTCAAGTCTATTTCTTTTCTTTGTATGAATCTAAAATGAATATAAACATACAAATTAGATTTAGAAGGATCAAAATTTGAACAATAAAATCAATGCAGATGCACTACAAGTAAGGCTAAGGACCCGAATAGCAAATTTTAACCGAAGAACTTTACCTGCTCAAATGTGCTCCAATTCCTCTCACACCCAGATGCACTACAAGTAAGGCTAAGGACCCGAATAGCAAATTTTGTCAACTCAGGTGTGTCCCTTCCAAAACGCTTCCACCAATTTGCTAAAAAAAACAAAACAAATCCATCTAATTAAGTTAAACATTTATTTCAAGTGTTCATTATACTTGAAAGAAAATGAAAAAGTAAAGATTATAACCTGGAGTTCGTAGTTTCCTTGAATTCACAACGAGACGACCTCCAAACTCTCATTTTGCCTCATCATACAAGTCCAATTGGATATCAGCAACCATACGATCCTCAAAAGACAACATCCTACTCATACAATCTTCCAATCCCTTCCTCACTTCTTCAGCATTAGAAAAGGTTTCTTCATAACGCAATTGAGGGTTCAAATAATAACCAGCAGCATGTAAAGGTTGATGAAGTTGTGGGCCCCATCTTTCGTCTATTCTTCTCCAAATTGGTTTATACCTTCTTTCAACTTTTCCACAATTAAAAGCAATCTTCTCTTTTGCAACATCCATTAACTCATAAATAAATCCCATAGCGGGTCTCTCCTCTGAATCAACTTCTCTCAAAACAGATACTAATAGAGTAACACTTTTGATGCAAAAAGCAACATGAGACCAAAAATTAACATCATATAGTATAGTTGAGCGAGCCCTAATACTTTCATTATGTTGGACAAATGGTCCATTGTGCCATTCTCTAGAAGAAAACATAGCCTGAAGAGGTTGCTTTTGCTTATAGATGCTTTGAAGAGTAAGATAAGAAGTGACAAACCGTGTGATTGCAGGGCGAATTATCTCTTTGTTTTTCGTGAAAGATCTCATCAAAGCAAGAACCCATGTATGCCCATAAATAAACTTCACTACTTGCTTGGCTAGTCTAATTGTATCTTCAAAAACTTTCATTTTGCTAATATCTTCTAACATCAAATCAATGCAGTGGGCAGCACAAGGAGTCCACCATAACTTCTTCCTCTTCTCCATAAGTTTCACTCCAACATTCTTATAATTAGAAGCATTATCTGTTATTACTTGAATCACATGCTCCTCCCCAACTTCTTTGACAACATCATCTAAATATTTGAACAGTAACGTTCCATTTTTTATGGAATCAGATGCATCAATAGATTTTAAAAACCAAGTACCTGCAGGGCTATTCACAAGAAAGTTTATTAGCACTCTATTTTTACCATCAGTCCAACCATCAGACATAATAGTACATCCATACTCTGCCCAAGCTGTCACATCCCGGATCGGCTCTGCCGTAGCACGATATTGTCCGCTTTGGGCCCCCCCTCTCTGGCCCTCACGGTTTTGTTTCTGGGAGCTCACGACCAACTTCCCAGTGGGTCACCCATCCTGGGATTGCTCTCGCCCCCAACTCGCTTAACTTCGGAGTTCCTACTACTCCGAAGCCAGTGAGCTCCTAAAAGGCCTCGTGCTATATGGATGCGGGTGTGTACATTTAAGGCACATCACCCACTCTCCGTTGGTTGATGTGGGATCTCACAATCCACCCCCCTTAAGGGCCCGACGTCCTCGTCGGCACACTCGCACCACACGGCAGAGTGGCTCTGATACCAAATTGTCACATCCCGGATCGGCTCCGCC